TATTCTAGAACAACCAATGCTAACTGCCATCCATACATTTATCATAACAGTCGATCTTTAGACCACACCCCTTTTCCTACCACTGTAGTCTATGATGTAACGTTGTTTAATTGTACTTCGATCATGGTTGTAACAAAAATGGTCCATTTTATTATGGTTTTTTGGCAGTTGCATCACATATTCCATTTTTTTTGTTTTAATTAGAGCATCACTATCATTACTCTGTCTCTTGTTCTCATTTGTAATGACTCATGCATTATGCATTATAATATTTGTGTTAATTAGTGTCGTTATCAGCACTCCTAATTTTATGTATAATACTGTCTTTTATAAAACAATTTCTCTCTTATGCAACGATCTTGAAATATTACAGTAATCTGACAGTTTTAAATTCGCATGTAGTTTTATTCATTATGTGCGGTTGATATGCAAATGGGTATTATTTATGTATAGGTTTGATGATGGCAAGTATGCTCTATGAGCGGGCAGCACGAATAGAGCATACTTGCCATCATCAAACCTACTTGGTACATGTCTCCGTAGTAACTACAGCACAATGGATAATTATGCCACCCTTTTTAGGAAAGCCTTGTGTAAGCGCTTGACACAGCAAATTTGTACAGCACAGTTTGTATAGCGGCAGTATTGCTAATGGTGGGTGTTACTACAAACCAATATCATAATGCATCGTTGCCAGGGTAACATGTACCAAGTGGGCCACCATGCACCACATAATACACCTGCACTATATTCGTTGGACGATAGTTGACAACATACATTACATAATGATGACATCATAAACACAATGTTAAGAGTTGTTCTCAAGGCAGGAGCTAGGGAGGATCTTGGAGCAGTTGATTCCTCGATGAGTGGCTTTCTCTGGTTTGACAAACAGTCCGTGAGAAGGCTTGCAGCGAAAGTAGCGATGTCCCTTCACCGACCCATCGTTCTTTCCATCTGCAGAGGAGAGAGAGTGATAGAGTTGAAGGGGTTAATGACAGGGGTTAAAGTTAATGAGCCAGGGGTTAAAAAGTTTTGCACTGCAGTGGTTTGGATGCCATGGGTATCTCCTTAAATAAGCAGAATTTCATGTATAAAGTATTAGCGCCTAGTATTATAACCCCCTATAAATTCTTATGGAGGCTCTGGACACATGGCTTTCAATTTTTCGCACGTATTTAGAATCACGTAGAACATTACGGTACGTGTATTGCCCGTCACATAATATGTAGAAAATCCTTGCATTCAGACGACTAGATAGGCTTGCTTCGTGCGTCAATAATATGTACTTACTAGGTTTCCGTAGTTCAATCCCAAGCCACACCCCCTTAGCAAACTGGGTGGTTCCGATGAACCGCACGACCCCAAAATCAGCTCCAGTCACAAAGACACTCATCCCGGTCTCCAGAGTGACGTTGGGGAGGGAGGAGAGGGAGAGGGTGGAGGAGGAGAGGGAGGGAGGATGGTGGGGGAGTGAGGAAGAAGAGGGAGGGTTGGTGAGGGAGACTGTGCGAGGCTGCTTGGCTCGAGGTCCAGTTCTGAATGCATGCAAATGAAAAATGTATGCAAGGGAAGAAAGAGAAAAGAAAGCAGACTTATAGTTTGAGCAATACTCCAGAACAAGGAACGCTATTTTTATAATTACTGGTGCATG